TATTAGTCCACATTGGAGCAAGCTTAGACCAAATACGATACAAGCACTGATGTATCTTCAAGATTGGTTGAAGAAAGATCTGAAAGGTATTAAATTAAGGTTATATTTCTTTTATTTTCTTATTTTTGAATTTATATTCTAAACTTTTATTATGTTTGAAATTCAAGTTCTAACAATAATGGGAATTTCTTCAATCTATTTGAGGAGTTGGAGGAGAATGATAATGAGGAGGATGAGTTTAAGGTAAATTTTAAACAATAATGTTTCTTTATATAAATTATTATATAAAGAAAATTTTCTAAAATTTTGTTAATTTTGGGTATTTGTTTTTATTTCAGGAAGTTATTTCCTCAACTTGAAATTACTAATCAAGCTTAGCTTAAGTTGCTACTGTAGAGTTTGCTTTGCTGGATTGGATGGATATGTACGCATGTGCCACTTCCTAGACTCTTTTATGTGCTTTTTCTTAATGAACTTATTGCTGGACATGTTGGCAGCAGTTTATGCTTTTTTTTTTTTCTATCAACTTTGCTGAATCTAGACATATATGCAGTTGCAATTTATGCTTTCATTTTTTATAAACCTTTTGTTGGATTTGCTGGATTTATATAGCAGTTTATGCCTTTTTTCTTTATGAAATATGAACTTGTTGCTTGCTTACTTGCTGGACTTGCTTGACAATGACATGTATATATTGGCTGTGTTATTGTGTATATTTACTACTTGTTTATCTTGTTTTAAAAGAGTGATCTTGATCATCTCTGTTTGCTATCTAGGATTTTATAAAATTGATATTTTCTTTTGTAATTTTGATTAACAAGCAGTGAAATAGGTGATGGTTTTATTTGGCAGGGACTTCGAATACCCGTGGGGACCTATTATTCCTCGCGGGGATGGGGATGGAGGTAATTTTTGACCCTCTACCAAAAATCCTCGCGGGGATCCCCATACCCGCCATTGATGAGGATGGGGATGGAAAGGGGGTCCCCGCCCCCGTGGGGACCCGTTGCCATCCCTAAGTATGATCAACTTGATCCTGAGTTGGATGCTGCACTTGAGGAGGAACTATCTCATGTTGTCCAGAAGATAGGACGTGGCATGGACAAGGGGGGCAAAGCATCAACAAACATTAGTCAAAGAAAACTGCTCAAAATAAATCAGCGTGGGTCATTTAGCAATGAGAGATTTGGTAGGACAGCAACAGTTATATGAAAGTTTTTATATGATATGATGAACCTGTGCTTTTCTGGACTAATTGGCCATAGGAAAAGAAGATGCTTGCTTGGGAGACACTCCAAGTATGAAAATAAGATTCAAAAATTAATAAAATTTGATTATAGGGATGTTGATGCTGGGAATTTGGTGTTGGTGATCATTCTATGGATGTGTTTGATAATTTAAATTTTTTTTTTTTTATGGTTAACAGGGGGAAAGTTGATAGTTTAGATGGAACTCTACACTTTTTAAAATATATGTATATATATATAATCTATTATTCATTTTCATATGGATGAGTTTAAAACAGTTAAGATCTTGATTATTGTGATGTTGCTGCCTAGAATTTGGTATGAATGATCATGATATAAATGTGTTAATTTTTTTTTATAAAAAATTAGTATTAATTATTTTGTGTGCTTTAAAGGTGTTGATATTAATGTGTTGAGTTATTGTATATTAGCATAAAATTTGTTGGACTTGTTGAGTTGTTGTGTTGTGGTGTATCCTAACAGATTACATGAGATTTGTATTCTGCTGGAACAATATTTGACCTTTTTTCCTTTTTTTCTAAACATTTTCCTTCATGTAACATGTTGGTAATTGATGGCAATGTTTTTTTTCCCGCTAATCAAATAGGTGCTGATTTGTTACACATTGCCAACACACAGAACAATTTTCATAAGTGATCTATATATTTTTTTTTTATGGATGTCAATGATTTATATTAGAATAATATTGTTCATAAAATTATTTATAAATATAATGATGTAGTACATGTTATATTTCATAATAGCAATGTGTCATAACCCAATTTTAACAGGATATCTTATAAAAGTTTCCAAAAACTTTTAGATTAATTAAATGATTGGACTTAATTGTGTGGAATTAAAATGTGAAGTTGTGAATAGCAGGGGTTGCATAATAATATTGGAATTTAGTGGACCATACTGTGAAAAAGCTTGAACCTTGAAGGGCTGAGAGGAAAATTGGCCAAATGACGTGGTTTCACTTTCGGGATGAATTTAAAATAAAAGGCCAAGGTTCAACTGAACCCTAGCCTTTAGAATTCTTGACTCTTCTTACTCAACCATCAACTAATCTCCCAAAAATCACAAATTCTTTTTTATTTATCTTTAAAATTACTTGAGTTTGGATAAATCATAGTATCAAAATTCTTGATATTTTAAATGTTTGTTTTCTTTATGATTAACTGGGAGAAAGTTGATATTTTAAGGGAAATTCTACCCCGTTTTTTAGAATATCGAATATATTATCAATTAATTTAATTAATTTTAATATTGTAGAAGACATATTGTTGGGAGGAAGATGATGCTCGTGTACGCAGAATTTGGAGAAAGCACTACCAGAACCGTTTTTGGGACAAGCTATATCTTGTTCGAAAGAAAAGGGAAAAGGGCAAAAAATTACCTGAGTTCATGCATAGAGAGACCTTCAAAATATTGCTAGCAAAGTGGCAGAGCCCACAATATATGGCACTGCAAGAGAGGGGTCTGCTAAATTGAGCAAAGGGTCCCTGTGTGACTCACACTACTGGATGCATTTCAATGGGGATACATGAAGATCCGTTGGTTAGTATTATGTGGCCTTTTTATATATACTTTTATATATAATGCTGAATGTTATAAATTTTTAATTTTTATAATATTTTAATTTTGAACAAGCAGCAAAGCAAGGGAAAGTTAGGCCATCATAGCTAGAGACCTACTTGTTTACTCACACAACTTGCAGGCTTGAAGGTCAAGAAGATGCATCACCGGTTTGGGTGTGTCTAGAAGCTGAGCAGACATATGTAAGTATCGAATTTCTTGAGTTTTTTTTTTATCAGTAATATTTTATTTTATTTTGTATTAATTTATAATCGGAGTACAAGGGGTACCCCTACCCATTACACATACAAGATCACCTCTTATAATAATATTACTGATTCAAAGCAAAACAATCTCCACAATATGACTGTCAACTAATTTGCTCACACTTCCCCTCATGATAAAGCCTGCTTAAGGAAGGTGCACCAAGTATCATGTTGTATCTTAGGTTTTAAATTCACCTTTATCCATGTAAAAGACCTAGACTTGATCAATGCTATCACTGTGCTTCTTGTGTCTTTTCCTTCTTTGAAAACCTTCCGATTTCTCCATAACCAAATTGACCAGATGATGGTGAACCAGACTATATTCTATGCTGTTCGTAATTTGCCATTAGAAACTAGTCCTGCATGTTGCATAAAGTGTTCCCATCCTCCCTGTTGTGTAGCTGTCGTGATGCCCCACCATTTATAGCATGCAATCCATATTTTCCATGAGCTCTTACATGAAAACAACATATGATTTATGCTTTCTGCATCCTATTCACATAGTAATCACACAACAATTCCTCTGGGTCTTCTATTAAGTTCCTTTTGAGTAAGTTGTCCTTTGTTGGAAGATGATTTTGGATAACTTTCCATGCCAGCACCACAACCTTCAAAGGTACATCTTTATTCCATAGAAGCTTGTACCTTTT